CAGAACTTTTCAACACCTGCTTTGCCCCTGTCTTCACCTGAAAGGAAAGCGGTGCCTAACTTGGTGATAATAGTATAAACGATGCAAGGAGGGAGCTGCAGCCCAAAATAGAAAAAGAGGTTGTCATGGACCACCTAGCTACTTTAAATGAATTCGGCCTGATGGGCTGCACCCAAGGATATTAAAGAAGCATGTGGATGTAATCTCAGAGTCTCTGTACTATTTGATAATTCTTGGAGAACAAGTGAGCTTTCTGAGGACTGGAGGCGGACAACTGTTGTCCCCATCTTCAAAAAGGGGTGAAAAGAAGACTCAGGTAACTACTGACCAGTCAGCTTGCCAATGATAACAGGAAAGGTCCTAAAACATTTAATTAAACAATCAGTCTGTGAACACTTAGAAAAGGATGTTGTGATTACTAAGACCCAGCATGGGTTTCTCAAAAACAAACCACGCCAAAGAAATCTAATTTCTTTGATGGAGTTACGAGTTTGGTAGATTGGGGGAATACTGTGGACGTAGTGTATCTTGATTTCAGTAAGGCTTTTGACAAAGTCCTCCATGATGTTCTTGCGGAGAAGTTGATAAAATGTGGGCTGGATGAGGTAATTGTTAAGTGGATTTGTAGCTGGCTGACTGAATGAACCCAGAGTGCTCATTAATGGTTCTTCATTATCCTGGGAAAAAGTGGTTTAGTGTGGTGCTGCAGGGTTCTGTCCTGGGCCCACTGGTGTTCAACATCTTTATAAACAAATTGGATGAAGGAATTAAGGTGATATTTAGGAAATTCACAGATGACATCAGACTGGGAGGGGTAGCTAATGCTGCAGAATATAGAATCAAGATTCAGAATGCCCTTAAGAGATTGGAGACCTGGGCCCAAACTAAAAAAAATGAATTTCAATAGGGACAAATGTAAGGTTCTGCACTTAGGCAGGGGGTTGGACTAGATGACCCTTGGGTTCCCTTCCAACTCTACAATCGATGATTCTATTCTTCTAGATGGGGCAAAGTGGCCTTGGGCAAACCCTTCCACGATGAGAAGCTCTCTGTCTTCACGAGACAGAAGACCCTCTTAATCCTAATCTGCCACGGAGCCCCATTAGAGAGAATTTGTAAGCAAAACTCGGGTCCTGCTCCAGTTTGCACGACTGATTTATTGGCTTCATTAGTCGGAGGGGAAGGATCGAGGTTGCCGGGGTGTGATTTATTCTGGCTGCCAGTGAGGCCATTTACCAGTCTCCTGATTTCCTCTGATAACAAATTCCCCCTTCTGTTTAAATAAGAAAAGGGGGGAGAGACAGAGAGATCCAGAAAGATGTTTTGGTCCCTGCACAGCCTCTGGAGAGACATAACTCTCACATTTTTCATGACACGCCTCTTGGGTTGAATCTCAATCAGAGCAGCGTGGGGCTCAGAGCTCAGCTTCCTGAACCTGTCAAGGACCTTGTGAGAATGAAGCAGCAGAGTTCAGAGATTGTCTTGATTGCTTTTTTCTTCATAAGGCCAATTAAGTATCACAGAATATAGCATACACCCTTTTCGCTGTTGCATCTTTTGATTGGTGTTAATGGTGTGTCAGGTGCTGTACGGGTGACCCAGTGCAGAGTAGAACAGAGATTTTCAAACTGTATTCTAATTCAACCTTTTGCTAGCCGGTGTCCTCCAGATGTTTGGACTCCTATCAACCCCCAGCCAGCATGGCTGTTTTGGACTCCAACTCCCATCAGCCCTAGCCAGCACAGCCATTTTTTACTACAACTCAGCTGGGGTTGATGGGAGTTGGAGTCCCACCACCTTTGGAGGTTGCTGGGTTGTAGCAGTACTGTTCTCAGAAATGGGAACAATTGACATAGGCCCTAACCACTGCCAAACATATCTGCGTAGAAAGTATCCCTTGAAGGCAGATAGCTTTAAGAACCCTATGGATGTTCTTGATGGATAGGGGAGTCCTGGGTTCCAATCTCTGCTTGGCAATATAGGCAGCTGAGTGCTAGCTAGCCACTGTCTCTCAACCTCACAGGATTGCCCCAACAATAAAATTGGAAAATGCCTACATGTACCTGTAGCTCCTTGATGGGTTACAAAAACGATCAACCAGTCTATAAGCTTAGGGTCCATTTTGCCTTGTCTTACAACACACACACATGACTCACTTTCTGCCATGAGGGATTTGTGGGCAACATAGTCCTACTGAGAACCAAGTAAGAATGTCAGAGAATTCCAATGAAAAAGAGAGCGATTAAAATTGCCAGTGTTCGCTTATTAGTCCTGTCTCCAGAACGGACATTAATCCAACAAATAGAAATGATAATATCTATATTATTCACGCATCAAAAAGTATATGATGATGCATAATTGATTGTTTGTTTGTTTGCATCATGGTTCCTTTGCATTGAAGTGAATGCTGTGGAATAATGTAATTAATTGCATAGTTTATTTACTTAATGTTTCGCCATGACGAACAGTGAAACGTATAAAATAGTTTTTGTTGGAACCTTTTCATTCTGTTCAAATGATAGCAAAATGGAAACATTGCTCCATTAGGCGAATACGGGGCACCAAAGCCATCCAGGGGGAGACAATGTTCAGAGATGGACTTGTCACTGGCTTCCCCACTGAAGTAGAACTTGCTTTCTCTAGGAATTCGCCAGAGTTCAGGCCTGAGCATTTCCTGGAACACCTGGTTTAGGTTCAGCTTCTCGTAAATCATGTTGCCTACCACCCTGAGGACTAGAAGCTTACTTGATTTCTTTTTAAAAAAATAAAGTGTGGACTTTCAGAACTGTATTCATGTATTTTGAGTAAAGACAGGTTCTGTTCTGTATGATTGCAGGCATGCAGAGTAAGCCAGTGTCCAGTCTTGTGCCCAAGTAGCCGTCTCCGTAAGAAGCAATTCCCAGGGCCTGAATTTGAAAGTCCAGTGATGTTACACAAGCTGGCACGTTGTACGTTGCATCGCATGCCTCCGAAGGGCCTTGTCACATCAGCTTAAGCTTCTTGCTGACCAAAGTGCAGAAGGAGTGCTGCGAACAATGGAGATTGCATCCTCCTGAAGCACGTCTCTCTCTCTCTCTCTCTCTCTCTTTCCCTCTCTCTCTCTCTCTCTCTCTCGCTCTGTGTGTGTGTGTGTGTGTGTGTGTGTGTGTGTGAACAGCTATAAAACTCTGGACTCGTCTTCTCTGCCTCTCTCTCCCCTCTTCTGCTCCTGCTGCTGCTGCCATCCTCCCTTCACAGGACCTTTTCCAGAAGGAAACTGGCAGCTTATTCTTCCGGGAATGGAAGGGTATTAGAAGAAGCAAAAACAAAAGCAATAAGTAGTATTAATGTAAGATTAATACTTTTGAAATGCTGTCCCCAGGGAAGCTCGCCTGACACCATCATTATATATCTTTAGGCACCAGGCAAAAACTCCTCTGTAACCAGATCTTTGGCCTCTAACTATCTGTGGCCTTTCAGAAGGGAGTGGGATATTTTTAATGTATTCCTGCCCCCTGGTTTTAATATATATAATGTGGGAGGGGGGCAGTGCCAGATTTACGTATAAGCTAAACAAGCTGTAGCTTAGGGTCCCACTCTCTTGGGGGCCCCAAAAAAAATTAAATGGGGAAAAAACTGGATGTACATTTCCAAAATATAAGATAAAAAACAAATGAAATAAAACCTACATGCAGCAACAGTGTTTTGTGTTGTGTAGGCTCCTATGATGTAAGTAATGGGCCCTGCCTGTTCCCTAAAATTGTATTTCGGTCCAACAATTGCTTTGATAAAATACGCATTTTGTTACATGAAAATGGCTTTAGATACTTACTAGGTCCATAAATTACCATATAGCATATATTCAGCACAAAAAACAGCGACAATTTGTTGTTGACAAAGGACAGCTGGACGTATAAAGGGCCCCATTACCCTCAATAGCTTATGGCCTCATCAAACCTAAATCCAGCCCCCCCCGGGGGGGGCGTTGTCTTGTGCAAGTTAAAGCGACCAACAAATTAAATTAAGGAGAAGAAGATGGCTTTAAAAGAGGATTAGACAAATTCATGGAGAGAGGACTCATAATGGCTACTAGTCATGATGGCTCTGCTTTGCCTCAACAGCTGGAAGCAGCAATGCTGCTGAATGCTACTTGCTGGAAGCCACAGGAGTCGCTCTTGTGCTTGATTCCTGCTTGTGGGTTTCCCATTGGGGCATCTGGTTGGTCATTGTGAGAACAGGATGCTGGGCCAGGCCTCATCCAGCAAGGCTATTCTTACATTCTTCAGTTTTCTTTTTTCTTTGTACTTTTGATTCCAGAGTAGTACTTTTTACATTAATAATAAGGGCTGTAGCTCAGGGGCAGAGCACCCGCTTTGCATAAGAACATAAGGAGGGCCTGCAGGGTGAGGCCCAAAGGGCATCTAGTCCAGCCTTCAGTTCTCAGAGTAGCTGGCCAGATGCCTATGGGAAACTCCGCAAGCAGGATCTGAGCTCAAGAGGCCTGTTCCCTCCTGTGGATCCTAGCAACTGATATTCAGGAGCATTGCTACTTCCTGCTGTCGAGGCAGAGCGTAGCCAACATGACTAGTAGACATAGATAGTTCCCTCTGCCATGAATTTGTTTAGTCCTCTTCTACAGGCACCCGTGTCGGTGGCCATCGCTGCCTCTCCCAGGGGCCAGTTCCTTAGGGAAGGGGAGTGGGTGGGTATTAGTAGAATAAAAAAATAAAACTGATTTGCAGTCGACTAGATGTGGCTGCTGCCAAGCTGGGGATCTGATCCAGTTCCTCAAGCAATTTCTTCACCCCCAGTTTTGGAGATGGTAGCCAAAAAGCAGGGGGCAGGGGATTAAAGTGGACCCTTTGGCTGGGGGTGCAGATTGTCCTCTCTCTGTTTATGAGATTGGTCACATGGAGTGGGGAGAATATGATCACCCCACTTTCCTCAGTAGATTTGCCTGGAGAAAGCCTGGGTGGATTGGAGAGTGAGTGTGTTTAAAGGTGTTAAGTTGCTTAAAAGGAAGAGATGTAGCTCAGTGGTTAGAGCGCCTGCTTTGCACACAGAAACTCCCAGGCTCAATTCTTGGTGGCATCTTCAGGTAGGGAAGAAAAAGATTCCCTCTCTGGAGTCTTAGAGAGTTGCTGCCAGTCAGTGTAGGAAACGCTGAGCTGTATGGACCAGTGGTCTGACTCTGTGAAAGGGAGCTTACTAACCCCAACTGTGTGAGGCTGAAGGGGAATGTGTTGTCTTTCCTCCTTGGCATTGTGTTAAAACACACCTGAATGCTCCAGACCAGCAAACTGCTAAAACTTCTGCTTTTATAGAGGTTGGCACACCTGCTGATGATCAATTAAGCAAGGACATTTGATTAGCATCCCCTAAGTATACCCTTACTGCTTTCATAGGAATTAAGATTCCTATGGAAGCAGTAAGGGTGTACTTAGTTTTTCCACACATGATTTCTCCATCTTGGCTTTGTTTCTATTAATTAAATCATGAGACAGATGTCATGTGTTGTTCTTCATCTGAGGTTGCATTTACCTAATTTCAAGACCTGCTAAGGAACAAATGATTGCTATTATGTCCTGATATGTAAAACCACATAATTCAAAGGGGGTACACTTTCTTTTTCCCAAGACTGTATGTTGTAGGTATTTCTCATCTCTGTGTTATTCCATTTGTATATTTACAAAATCACACCATGCAGTATAAAAAGTATCTTCCCCGCCCCCTCTCTCATTGCTACCTTCCAGTTTTTGCAACGGCTTTTCTATTATGGGCTGTTTGCCAGTGTATGTTATACCAGTGATCAATATTCATTAATTGCAAGGTTTTCCAAGTTCTAGCGATTACTGTTCTAGCTGCTGTTAATAAATGTGTTATTAATGCCTTACTTCTCAATTGGTCCATATTTGAAGTATATTTCCCAATAACCCCAGCATTTTAGCTTTATTTTATTTATAAAGCTAAAATGCTGGGGTTATTGGGATTGTCTGAGCTGTAATCTTAAGATATCTCTTTTGAAACTTTAAAGGGAAGAACTTTGGGGGCCTGTAATGCTCACCTCATATTTCAGAGGAGCCTTTCTAACTGCTACAATTCATATCTTTGAGCCAAGAAATTCAGCATCAAAATCATGACTAAATCCAAGAATAACCGCAGATGTGGAAGCCTGCAGTAAACTAGCATGCATTCAATCAATCAACAATCAAACGCTATGTGTTACTTCCCAGGGAGACTCTTCTTGACCTTGTGGACCTCTCCTCCTCTAGGTTTTCCGGAGTGGCGAGGGCATGGGGATCCGACTGGACAGTGCCTCCGCCTTTCAGGGGGCCATCATCTCGCCACACTACGACTCCCTCCTGGTGAAAGTCATTGCTCACGGCAAAGACCACACCACGGCAGCTTCCAAGATGAGCCGCGCCCTGGCTGAGTTCCGGATCCGCGGGGTCAAGGTAGGAAAGGGCCTCCAGGCTCATGCGCTTTCAGATTTTGTTGTTTGCCAGGGCTGAGACTTGTGCTAGGGGCAGCTGACCTGTTGGTGTTTCTCCTTATAACATGTGCTTTTATTTATCCTTTTGGGGCAGGGGATGTGTGTAAAGATTAATTTTGGCAGCCACTGTATAAATACTTCCTCTTCCATGCAGTTTGAGTGTCTGCACACTACAGATATAGATCAGTTTAAGGCGGCATTCCCATGCACTGATAGCTGAGAATAAGTCTCACTGAAGTCTCTGTGGCTTACTTCTGAATAGACATGCATCCATCGGATTCCTATGCCATTTAGTTTCCCTAGGAAAATCCTGGGGGCTAGTTTTATGAATGACACTAAATGTCCTCTGCATACTATAACTCCCAAGATTCTGTGTGGTAAGTTACTACAATTTCACTAGTCTAAAAGCAATGGTAAGTGTGCATTGCATTGGACTCTTCGGCTTGTTCTTACATTCTTCTTTTTATAAATATTTATAAATATTTGTAAATATTTATAAATATTTTTAATGCTGCTATAAACACACATTTTCTGATCTTTACCCAAATCATCAGTTCCTTGGGAGAGATTCCCTGCCTGAAATCCTAGGTTGCTGCTGCAAGTCAGTGTGGACATTACTGAGCTGGGTGAACCAATAGACTGACTTGATGGATGGATGGATTATTTTGATTTCTATAACAATATCTTTAAAAATATCTCTAGACGGTGTACAAAAAACTGAAGCAACAACAGGCAACTTAAACAAAATATTATAAAAACATATGTAACATTAATACAAAGTTATTAATATATATACATCAATATCAATTCATTTTCCTTCTGACACACCTCTCAGCTTCTGAGTTCTCACCCAGGGCCTAACAAGCTCTCAGCTCACCCACAACATTTCATGATGATAAGAGTTCCTGGAAACAGCCGACATCACCCTAATCTCTCACTCTGGACATGGTTTTTATGGCAGGTCCAAGGTGGGTGGTACTTCCTCAGGCTGCCCACAGCTGTGCCTAATTCAGCTGCACTCTTCACACCCAGTTCCAGGTACAGCAGGTTTCTTGAGTTTCCCTGGGGGTCCAGAGGTTGGGAAAAGGGCCCCCCCTCACTCACAGCTCTCTCCTCCCCCTCCAGCTGCTAGTTGTCTATTCCGTTACATTTACACCACCTTGGCTGTTCAAAACATTTTAAAATTCTAGCAAGGATTAAGTTAATGGTCCCCAGAGCCCTAAGACTCTATTCCTAAAATTGCATGTTAGCCAAAACTCTATCAGTGCTCGCTGAAGTAGAAGCTGCCAGATAGTGTTCAATCCCACTTTCCCAGGCATGTGAGAGTGGCAAAGTGACATCCTTGCTCTTCCACTTCAGCTTGAAAACCTTGCTCCTTTATCCGTGGCATCAATTGCCATGCTGGCCTTGACATTACATTGTGTATTGTTGGCCTCTGGAATCCATTGAAAGTAGAAGCAGCTCTGTAGGCAGAAAGTACAGCTGCCCTGTAAGCACCCATGTTTTCAAAGAGCATCCAGTCCCCATCCTGCAGATCTGGCAGCTTCCCGTGTTCCTTATTAATGTAACATTTTTATATGTAACTCTGTATATTTGTAAAAGTAGTTGTTAACTTGTCTGTTGTTGCTTTAGTTTCACGTACACCGCTTCGAGATATTTTTTCATATATTAAGTGGCGCAGAAGTGACCTAAATGAAGAAATAAATTGATGACTCAAGGCGCAGGGAGAGAGACAAGAAAGAGTGGTGCAGTTGAGGCAGGATTTTAAATTTCAGCATCTCAGATCGAAGGCTTGTTTTGCTGAGTCTTGGTTTTTACAGGGGATGCTGCATCCACCTGCTGCCCTTCTGATGATTTGGATGACGACTCCTGCAGCCATGCTGGCTGAGGCTGATGGGAGTTGTAGTTCATAAACATCCGGAGGACGCCAGGTTGGCAAAGGCGCCTTCAGCTTGTTCAGAGTCTGCCAACCCGCAGTATCGCTGCCCTTGTTAAGACCTCCCCTTCCCCTTCCCCTGACCTCCTTCACTCCACAGGGGGACAAAGCAACCAGACGATCCCCCTCCTCTGGGCTGGTATCCGATGACATTGGCAGGGCTGGTTCCCTTGCAGTGATGCCATACGGTGCCTCAGTGCCAGGGGAGGACCAGCCGCCTGCCATATGCTTGTCTGCGCTGGGAGGTGTTGTTGCTGACTGGCAGGGCGCCACGGCATGAGGACATCTGCTTGTCTGGGCCTTCTGTCCCAGGAAACCTGCCGTGAGGCTTTTCATGCACTTTACAGTGGAGGGGGAAGCCATAAGGGTCCACATCCTACTTTGTTGCATGCTTGTGCGATGGCACACCTGGATTTTCAATCTTGGGCAGGCCACAAACACACCTGTTTTATGGGTGAGCTATCATGTATTATCTGCGCTGGCTGCAGAATTTGAGAGGGCTTCAGGCAGGTCACTCGTATCCCTTAAGAGGCAGGGTGTGGGAAACGGAGAACCCTCACAGTGCTTTGTGCAATGTGGGGAAGAGCAGTATTGTCAAGGAAATGGGCCTTCTTCCAGCGTGGCCCTCCCAGCAAATGTCCAGCTGCGTGTGGCCTCCTGCTTCGGGGGTCAGTGTCTTTATTTACTTACATTTATATCCCACCAAGGAGCTCACGTGCGTCTCTTCATTTTATCCTCATAACAATCCTAGGAGGTAGGTTGCTTACACTGAGAGGGAGTGACTGGCCCAAGGTCACAGCCAGTGAGCTTCATGGCTGAGTCAGGATTCAAACCCTGGTCTCCGAGTTCATAGTCTAACCACTACACTACCACTGGCTAAGCTTGCTTGCTTGCTTGCTTGCTCCACCCTCTCTCCTGTTAGCATCGTGAACAGAATCCAGGAAGGCAGTGGTGGTGGTGGTGGCCTCAGGCCTGGGGCCTACGTTGGCTTTGTAACAGTCATCAGCAGGGTCTGAGAAACTGACGCAGGCAGACGCTCGTCAACTAGAGTCCGGAAACCTATTCCACATTTGCACCATACATTTAAAGTGCTGTGATACCACTTGAAACAGTCATGGCTTCCCCCAAAGAATTCTGGGAGCTGCAGTTTGCTAAGGGAGCTCAGAGCTGTTGGGAGACTCCCCTGTTCCCGTCCCAGAGCCATAATTCCCAGACTGGTTTAATCACCAGTCCATTTTCACTCTGGGAAAATGACCAGTCTGTGGGTCCTTCTCTTTGCTTGTGGGTTCTCATCTCACACATCGACAAGGGCCTCTGTCTCAGCACCCTGGTGCACATAGGGATGTCACTTCTCAGTTTGCTGAGGCCCTTGCAGATACTTGGCTGCTTGTAGGGAAAGGAGACGATGGAGGCTGCCTGGCACAATAGAGCCAGGCTCCTCAGCTGCTGCCAGGCAGCATTAAGGGGAGGAGGTAGTTTGCGCTGCTGAGCCAGAGCTCTCCTTGCATCAGCCAAGGTACCTCAAGGCAGGAAAAGGCATTTGAGGTTCAGCTCATCGGAGAGCCGAGGGAGGAGGGAGCTGCCATCCACGCTTGGCATAGAATCATAGAATCGTAGAGTTGGAAGGGACCCCAAGGGTCATCTAGTCCAACCCCCTGCAAGGCAGGA